TTCCAAGTAATAGAGTAGATCAACTCATGAATATGTGGAAAAGAGATTAGACAAAGTGGGAACCAGAATATTTTGCAATTAATCCAGATTGTAACAAATAACAAAAACTATAAATAATTACAAAGAAAGCTGGATATAACATAATTTGGGGAAAACTACAATAGACAAAAGTAGAACACAAAGTCAACGTCGAACACTTCAAATATGGTAGTAATAATAATACTCAAATGAAAATATTAACAAGGTGCCCAGGATGCTCAAAAGGTACAAAACAAGAAGATGGATATATATTAGAGAAAGACATGAAAGATATATATGAAGTTTCATATCTCAATACAAGAAAGTCAACCAGAAAAGCTCAAGAACTAACAATTCCTTGCTCCAAGGCATCACTAGAAGGGACAATGAAAAAAGTTACTAGTATAGATCCAAACCCTCAAACCTTAGCTCCAACCAATATAGTGATTGGGTAGATATCGAAAAATGGGAAGAGGTAACCATTAGAGACAATGTTACAGAAGGAGTATATCAGGACCACCTAATAGAAATACTTCAACGTAACTTGGGATCCAATGTTAAAAAACTAATCTTTTATTCTGATGGATCACTTATTAATCATGGAAAAGTAGAAATGAAAATGGAAGCAACATGGATTCAAATAGGATATATGGATAGAGAAAAATATATTTCAGACAGGAATAGACAGTTGACCCTTCTCAACATGTGCTGAACTTGTAGCAATTGTTACAATACTTCTGGTAGTTCCAGTGGGTAGTAATGTGGAAATCCATACAGATAGCCAGGCCTATATCTCCAAGTGAAAAACAATAGAAAGAGAAGACTCAAAGCAAACTCACAAAAGATGGTTAAAGGAAAAAAACTAGTCCTTATAAGCACGAATGTTAGAATTGATAAAGAAAAAGACCATAAATTTTTAACTTATCAAGGTTAAGGCATATTCCAATAATCTTCACAACGAAGAAGCAGATGTTCTAGCCAAAGAAGCTCTGAAACTCCCAGCAATAGAATGGAAAGAGCTGACCTCATACAAGATCATCACAGAAATTAAATGGTAAGAAAAGATGCTGGATGATCCAATAAGACAATTTGTCAAAAAAGTAAATAATAAAACTATTGTCTTTCAGTAGACACAACAAAACAGAACTGAAAAAAGATGGAGTCACCAAATTACAGAACAGCAAGATCATACTTGGGATCTTGTATGGGAAAGAATAAAAGAAGGACATACTTGGGATACTTCCTTTAAACAATCACAGCGAAAAAGCTTTCTCATAAAACTAATGAATGATGAGTTACCAATTCTGAACAAGCTGGCAACTAGAAGGCTTGACCTTTACAAACAAATAAAATGTATTGCATATAGCCAGCAAAGGAAAACTTTCGAACATTTATTAGAGTGTCCAGCATATAAGAAACAATTACAGGAGACATGGAATAAAGGATAAAATGGAATCCTTAAAGACTTCAAAGGGCTTCTACAAGAGAGGAAAAAAGAGGCAGAAGAAAAACATGCAAGGTTGATTATCTATGATGAAGAAAAAATGGTTGAGATAGATAAATGGATCACCAAACTAGTAGAACAGGCCTCAGAAACCAGTCAGGATACTCTAAGTTTTTGTACAGGGCTAGTAAGGAGAGACTTAATCTTAAAAATAATTGATCTGAAATGCCATGATAAAAGAATTGATAATAATGCAAAAAGATGGATATCAAAGATGCAAAGAAGAGTATGCAACTAAATAAGAAAAAAGATTTGAAACAAAAGATGTGAGAAGATAATCGAATGGAAATATTCACAGGGAATTTGCAGAGTAGAAAAAATTAACTGACCCTTAGGCACATACAGCTTAAAACCATCAACCCCCAAAAGTAAAGATCTTCTACCAGAGGAAGGAACTCAAGAAAATGAAAGCCTGAAAGAAATTCTACTCAAAGGTGTCACTTATGGAATGAAATGGTTGGGTTTTAAGCTGGGTCAGAATAACGGATAGTGATCTGCAGTGATGATCTGCGGGCAATGATGTTAAAATTGGAAGGGTTTTCACCTGAACCATTAATGGAGCATAAATCACTCCTGAAATTGCATTTAGAGTTTTGATATATTAAGTCAAAATGGTGATAAGTGAGTTAGGTAAAGTCTTAGCTTTAGTGAATCATTTAAAATGTACAGTATACAAGTGTTTAATAAAGCAAACATACCTAGTCTGACCTAGGGTATTAAAAAAAAATAATAATAATAATACTATATAACATGATATAGATAAAATAGTAACAAATCTAAAATAAATACGTTTTGTTATGAAAATAATATAATAATAATTCTTGTTAAAATGAAATTTTAATTTTTAAGGTTTGAATATTTTTAATTAAATTTAACATTTGAACATTTTTAATCGAATTTAATAATTGAACATTTTAATCAAATTTATTATATAATAAAATTCAACATTTGAATATTTTAATCAAATTCAACATTTATTTTATGACCAATAATAAGTAATCAAATTATAAATAATAAAGAAATCAAGTGCATATATGGTTGATTTCTTTTTTTTTTTTTTTTTCCAAATAATATACTGAAAAGCAAAGGGGATCCTTTGATGCGTTTTTAAATTGTTATTATCTTTAACAAGAAAATTTAATTTAATGTCAAATCCGTGAATTGCGTCGAGGTCTTTAGAAAAATCTCCATTCGGCATTTCCCAAATAACTCAACTTTCTATGGGCGGTCGGTTTCATGCCCTCAAAAGAAGCTTGCAGAATTTTCAATGGATCCCCGTGGCCCACCAATATTGCTACACTTTCTGTCGGTTCATTTTTGGATCCTGTTTCCCTCCGGCCATCCGTTATTCGCTCTGGATCCTCTTGCCCAATATTTTCGGTCTCCTTGAAATCGAAATTCAATTCGATTTTTCTAACCACACCGCACATGCGTGCCTGAACTTGTTGACAATTTTCAACCTCGACTTCAATGTACCTTTTTAAAATATCATCGTACCCATCATCTTCGTCTCTACATTCAATAGCATTATCCAGTTCCCAAACTTTGTTATAGGATTCACGACTAGTTTTGAATTCATAAATTCCGAAATTCCGCTCCCTCAGATCTTGAACCGTGGTGACGGTGGGACACAAAACAATCTTTTCATTGAAGAAAAAATTTCGAGCATGAATCAGATCGGTTGTGCAAAAGATTTCTCTCTAAATAATGATTGGGCTTACATGTCTCGGGGCGTTCGCAGACGTTAAATCACCTTCGGAACCTTGAATGTAATTAGAAAAATAGTCGTGCACAATTGAGGCGGTTTCGAGAGCCCTTGAGAATGGCGAAGTGTAAATTTTTAGCACAAGATCAGGTTCTCGTGATGGTTCGGGTGTATCGCCGCTAATGCGGTGTGAAGTGAGGAGATATTCCAAGATATTTCGAGCGGCCTGTATCAACGCATGAAACTCGCAATTATAGTGTCAAGTTACGAAAGGATCAGTAACACAGATATGAAGTAACCGACACACATTTTTAGCTTGCTCCTTTCCAAGTTCAGTTAATCCCCATCCACCATTATCATCACAGGAACCCGGGGAAAATCCGGTTAGTGAGGCAGGTGCACAACCATTCTCTGGTTTTGACACTACCACACCGGCAACATTTGCCTTTGATTGACCATGTCTGAGAAGGATGTAATGATTTTTGAGCAGTGATGGGAGTGCAGAAGAATTAATTATGGACATTTCTTAAATGAAGATAATCTCGGACTGTACAGTTACCATGAATTGCAGATCATGGTTTTATCACGTGTCTTTATAATTGCGTAAATTGCTTAGATCAAAATACATATTTTCAAGACGAGGAAAGGTATACAGACAGAAAAGGAAAAATTTTCTCGAACAATAATATGTACAATAAGGGGAATAAGTAAACATGTAAACCAAAGAGTTTACTGTTCACGTGCATGTCAAATCATACATAATTCATCCGCTCAAACCTCCTCGGAATTTACTCCTTAATGTTCTCAATGTTAACCACAATTTCATTAGACTTACTGCTGTCCTCACTTGCATAAATGTTCACGACATAACTGCTATTTGAATTGGTGTTGAAACTAACACTTATGCCATTAGGGTCGCGCGAATTTCGAAATTCAGTCCTAAGTCGTCTCTCGTCACCATTGCAAATTCCCCATCCCGTACTCCTGATGTTTCCATTAAGTTCACCATCGCTGTTCACTGACCGCGTTTCGTAGATCTTCTCATTGCCCAAATTCTCCGGCCGCTTAACATCCATCAATTGGCACATGTTCAGAACAAATTTGTTACGATCGGCATCGAATTGACCAGAACAATATTTCATAAATGCAAATAATGCGACCATAAATATGTGCGCGACTATTGATAAAATGGCGAGCCACCAAAACAAACTGAACAATTGAATTAGGGAAATCAAGGAGCAGGTGGTAGAGGAGGAAAAATCTTTGTAGTGCAAAGAAGCGTTGCGGAGTTCGTAAGGGATTAGGATTTCCAGGTAGAAGAAGACTGAGTCGAAACGGAAATTTGTGTCGTGTGAGTCAGTACATGTGCATCTGATACTTTAACTATTATCGAAAATAAACTTGGTACGTGAGGCTTACCCTTCAATACCCACAAGAAACTCTCATTCCTGCTCACGTGGTGTTCATTTAAAAAAAAAAAAGATTTTTTTTTTTTTTTTCAATGAGCGAACGTAAAGTAGATAGATACAGTATATGCAATACGTATTAGGTGGATTATAAAAGCTACCTGAACTTTTCGAAGTCATTTCTGTAGTCGTACGATGAGTCGCCGATGCCCGATAACAAGAAACCTTTTTTTTTTAAAAGGGGGGGGGGGAAATTAAAGATGCGTACAAAATTAAAATTAAGAAAGTAACGAAATAAATCAATAAAAGCTTACTTGATTCAAACGACGGCTTCAAGAAAATATACATATACCTGTGTATTCAAGAAAACAGAAAATATGTGTATGTTCATATGCTCGCCTTTAAATGCCATCGATTCGATTTGTCAAATGCATACCACTGGTTCACCATCAAATGAGCAACGCCCATTAAAATCGCCAACGACGCCGACACCTTTTCATTTCCAATCCACGTATAATCTTTATAATAAAATTCGCTATCTGCGTGATTCCTTAATCGGGCAAATTGGAAACATTTGATTGCCACTATGGTGTGGAGAGAGGAGAGGTAAGGAAGAAGCGTTTGATAATAGGAAGAATGTGTGAGGGGGAGAGAAAGAAAGATGATGTGAGGAACGAAAGCGAGAAGAAAAGAATAGTTTGATCGTCAAGTGAGAAATCCAACCAACCTCCAAGAAATAATGCAAACGTGATATGGGAATGCAGCAGCTTGAAAATTCGATAAAATGTCGATGCCAAGAGTTGTACGGTCATTGTCAAAATCGATTGCGTCTACTCAATTTCACGAGGGAACACTATATGATGCGACCGTGATTAAGCCAAGGCGTAGAAATGAAGTGAACACTATTTATCTATTATCGTCCAAAAATGAAAGTTTTCCTTTGCTCTTTTGACGATAGAATAAGTATTGAGGGAGGGGACAGCGAAGACCGCTGGTCGATGCGACAAAGCACCTATTTAATAAATAATTGGAAAATAAAGAATGTCACGTTACCTAGGATTTCAGGTTAGGTTGTACTGTACATACAAATACGCATTTAAACTTGATAATAACTAATTGTGGTTAAGAAACTCGGTTATGACGACTTGGCGCATATAAGCAAAAAGATTTATGATTCCTTGTTAAATCTGCGAGGTAATACTTTCACTTACATGATTGATTCGATGTCATCCGGATTCAACCTTACACGGCTTCCTTCGACAATTTCGTCTTGCAATTAAAGTTCATATAATTTGGATATTTGAAAATTTCCAGGAATACGTACAGGTTCGCATCGTAGAACTTTTGTCGGTCATTGGTCGATGCTAAATGAAGACCTGGAATGGCCTATATTCTTTACCATTACGGTTAGCGTAAAAAAAAAAAAGAAAGAAAGAAAAGAAAAGAAAAGGGAACGCACTTTAAAGAACGCGTAACCAACCCTTACGTGGTATGGCGTTATTTCACGGACGACTTCAAACCGTGGGAAACCTGTGACTCTTTAAATCTTATTTTTAGACCGCGCGCGATGTACCTCTAACCTTCGACGGCATGAACTTAACAATACATCCCCATTTTCGCGACCAACGATAATTAAAAAGCTGGAACCTAAATTATATAGATCATTCACCATTTAAAACACTCTTTACTTCAAACAGTTTAATCCAATAACCTAAACAAACAAACAACCAACCACGGTCAATATACACAAGAAATAATCGATGACTCTGTGAATTTCCCTCTTCCTTCGTAATTTTAGCGCACTAAAAAGCCAACAACAAAACCAATAAAACTTCCTTATCGAGTTCCATTCACAGTGTGTTAAAACGATCATAACAATGATTCCAGAACCTGCTTGTTTCTCGACCCATTGTTCAAAGAGTAAGTTAAAACGAATATCGATTTTTGTAAAATAGGTTCCCTGATATCTCTTTTTTTTTTTTCTCTCTCTCTCTTTTCCGAATCCGTAAAAATAATAATTAAACCGATACTGTGGACATTTACTCGTACAACCATACGTATTTAATATAACGAAAATATAGTATATAGTAAAAACCATAGTGGGTTGATAACCAACGCACATCGTAACCCGTGCAGCATTATGCATAATTAATCTAACGTCAGGTATATGATTCATCAACCCCCTCCTGGTTCCAGTGAGATACATTATGTATTTACTGCACCTGACCTACTGTAACACTACATACTCGTTAGACGCGTGGTCCCCGCCGTTTGTGATCCACAGCGGTGCAGTGCTAAAAGCAAAATTTGAGGCACGAAATACGCAAGTGTCGTGATCAGGCGATGCATAAAATACCATTGCTTTACGTTCAATTACAGTAGATCACGAGTCACCGTTTTTCCGAGGCAGGTTATCAAAAACGCTGTCGAGAAGGACAACACGAAGAGAATTAAGAGACTATCAAAGATTCACAATTATATGTATAACATTCCTTATGATTACTTGCAGCCGACGCCAACTTCAAGCATCTAGTAGCCCAATCAAATTTAAAACCATAGGAGAACAGATCCGGCCAATTTCGCGCAATCCAAATTAATTTCAGGTAACTTAAGTTTGTCGCAGTGCAATCTAAAGTAAATTCACACGACCAAGACAATCCAGCTCGATTTCGCGTGCAATTCAAGACAACCTAAGCCAATTCGACGACCTCGAAACCCCTAGACGACTGACGCCAACTTGAGTAATCCAAGTCGGTTTCGTAAAACCAAAACCAATTTGGCACATCCCGAGCCAACTTCGCGCAACTTACAGCCCGAAATAATTCATACATTAAATACGATTAAATTTATTTACCAATTCCTGTGCTTGCAGGTTTGAAACTAGTTTTACTGTAAAAATCGGCTTTTTTCTATTCATTGATCGAGTTTCGCGTTATACAAGTGAGCACCAAAATGTATCGATGTATGCACATCCAAGTCTTGGCATAATATTAAATGTAACACATTACGATTTATATCATACTTTTCTTATTCTCAGTATACAATTGCTTCCTAAAAATTCCGGTTTCTGACGACAATCAAAGGAAAAAAAAAATTTTTTTTTTTTTGTCTCAACGCGTTATTTATAAAACCATTAAGGTTGTGTGGTTATTTACAGATGATTGTCAACAAGCCCACTGCTCCTCCGTTGACCTACCAGGACTTGAGGTGACACCCCCAGCCTCACATGTAGAGAAAATTCTTCTGTAAGCACCAACAATATTTTCGGCCGTGATATTTCCCACCCCCTTGCGATGAATGGGATACTTCAAAGGATCTTGACATCGTTGTTACAATATATTACATCCAGATAGAAAATTCCACCTATCTCCTGTTTCGTAATCAATCTCCAAGTGCAGACAATAACTTCAGTACCGAAATCGGTGATATTTTTACGCGTCATTTTATGGACCAATGTGAAGTGTACGTATAATGTTACACGGGTGATTGTAATTGCGTCATATCAAAAATGTGCTCATTTTCTGCATAATATCTTATCTTTGATTGGGCCCGTCTTGACAAACAACTTGATACTGGTGATAAGGTTCGGTTAGATCGAACCTTCGATTTTAATTTTGACAAACTGCTTTCTGGAAAACTAGAGTCGAATTATGTTGCCCCGTAAATAAATATTAGTCACTGCATATGCTGTATGATGCAAGAATGGTAATAATTATTTAAAATAATAAAATAAGAACAATTGATACGAGGATTATTTTAAAATATTATTATTATTATTATTTGAAATAATAAACATTTTTAATTAAGAGAAAATTTTTTTTCGATATATCAACAATCAATCATTAAAAAATCTTAATGAATGTACTGTATTATAGGTGTACTGTATACAGTATAATGTTATAAAAATTTTTAATTGATTTAATAATATACAGTATACAGTATATATACAGTATATATTTATATTTTTAAAATTACTTATTTCTATTTCAATAAACCTCATAACATTAATATTATGAATAATTAGTTGATATATTGTTATGATAATTTATTAAAAATTTATTTATTTTTAATATTAAAATTATTATCATTAAATTAAATACTATATAATCAATTTTTATTTATCGAAAGAAAAAAATAATAATTTAAAGTTTCTTTGAATCACTATAACTCTTTTTACTAATCCTCTGATCACTTATAAAAAAGTTATTTACAAAAAGTTTTTTTACTTCTTTATTAATAAAATCTTAATATTTTCTTTAAAACAACTTGAAGATTAAATTTATAAGTTATCTCTATCCTTCTTATATTGTTTACAAATCTCTTTATTCAAAAACTTGACTTTTAATAATTAAGAAAAGTTTATTAACTCCTTTAATACAATTATAAAAAAAGTTTTCAAAAAAAGAGAACTAACTATAAAGTATCTAAAATCTCTTCTAATCTTTGAAACAAGAAATTTATAAAAATTTTATTACAATTAAAAGATTTATTTTCTCTTTTTTGAACTGTTCTAATTCTCTTAAAACTTTTATTTTCATAATTTTTCATGAAATTTTGCTTATTTCAATATGATCCTAAATTTTTGATCATACAAATACTTATTAAAAATAGTTAATGTACATGAATCACATTAGTTTTTTAAATATAAACAAGCTTTTATTAATTATATCTATATATTCTGATAATATTATTAAGAATTAAAAAAATTGAAAAAAATCTCTTTCCGCTGATTCTCAAAATTTCAGAAAATTTCCTTTTATAGTAATTTTCTAAAGAAAAAACCTTTTCACAAGAAACAACCCCAAGGAG